CAGCGATTATTGAATTGTCCCCACCAATAATTTGATCTATTCGAGTAAAGAAAAACAAACCCGATAGAAAGAAAAAAAACGATCTGTCAACGTCTCATTCACCAAGTGGTGCAGAAAGAGTTAAATTACATTCTCTACTGGAGTCCTACTTCATGTGACAAATATGGCCAATGTGATTGGCTGAGCCTTTCAGGGAGCTCTGTTTAGTTTTAGCAGCGGCAAGCCTGCGCTGCGAGGACCTGCAGGGAGGAGAGGAGGATGGCAGCTAAAAGAACCTGGATATAAGAAAGTATTTTTCAAAGAAACCTGTAAGTCACTTAATAAAATCAAGTTCACTCATAAAATGTGTCCGTCATAATAACATTACAGGCTATGCTAGGCCATACATGGCAACCCTCCCAATTATTCCGGGAGAATCCCGAATTTCAGTGCCCCTCCCGAAAATCTCCCGGAGCCACCATTCTCCTGATTTTCCACCCAGACAACAAAATTGTAAAACCATATCCCAGATTGCAATTCCAGTTTCCAACAATGGCTACTACTACAGCTACTTAGTTTTAATATTACTCTTATTACTCTTTCTGGGTCACAAAATAAACTTTTAACATATTTTCAGGTGAGAATGTAGCTGTGTAAACGTCAAATAACTTAAATATGTTGTTTGGCGTTTTTCAGTGTTTCATTTGTTCGTGAGTAAATCGGTTTGGCTGAGATTAAAGTTATTAGATTAGATTAGATTAGATTAGATTAAATAAAACTTTATTAATCCCTCGGGAGGGTTCCTCCGGGGTTTTCACACAGCTGAATAAACGTCAAACAGAAAACTGATTAAACAGAAGTGGGAGATGGTCGAGAATCTACGCCAGCGTCCGGTTATATTTTAGACAGCAAGGAACAGACGGCAGAGGTGACGTAATTCTGAAGGCTTGACCGTCCAATTTGGACACCCCCGGCCTGTTTCCGGCCAGACAATAATAACGGTGACATTTAACTTATTTTATCAAGTAAACACTGTAAAATTCAAATGTTTTGTATGTATATGTATACCCGTCCCCCAACAGCCCTTTTGAATGTCTCCCTAATTCTGAGGTCTCAAGGTTGGCAAGTATGTGCTAGGGTTTGGCCCACATCAGTCTAAAATTGTATGTAACCATGAATAACATGTTGCCATGTCCACCAGGAGAGACTGGACAGTATAGATGTAAAACAAATATGCCAGGAGTTTATCTCAGTTAATAAGAGGAGAAGGCATGTGTTTGGCTCCTTCACATAGTGGACATTGAGTTGTTGTGTGGGACACCAGTAGTCCATGTCTGTTGCTGTAACAATAGTTCATGTTTAGAATAAAAAATCTCAGCTCACTGATTTGATCGGGGCAATAGTGCCTAAAATGCTGCATAATTTTGCTGAGAGATCTTTTACTTTGTGGTAATCTTAGATGAGTAGTTTTATGGACCAAAACCAGCAGGTCATTCAGTGTTCCCTTAGAGCTAATGTATAAGAGATGTTGGTGTAACTGAAGTAATGTTGTTAAATCCTTAAGGTCATATTCTTTTATTGTCATGACTGTATTTGAAGCTATTTTTATTTTTGTATGATACCTGATTTATATGGATTATGGCTGAAGTAAACTAAAGCCTAAAATACTTAGTCAGTCATTTGTTTAATAGTAATTTAACATCATATTATTCACATATAAAACTATGAATTGTAATTTTAAATGGTTCAAAAGGATGTAGAATAGCATATGTAGGCGGGTATATTTCTCCTTTTTTTATCAAGAAGCAAAGACAAAAAGGGGGAAAAAAAGGAAACAGGGCAGAGTTCGGTGGTTGAATCATCCGTCCCCACCAATGCCAAAACCAAATCTACGCCCTTAATTTACATACTCTTCAGATAAAAACAGATACAGTTTTTAATTGTAACATCAAATCAGAGTAATGTTTATTTTTTTAGATTGATAAATATAAAAAACTTATTTGTTAACTTTAAGAGTAAAGAGATAAATTGGCTGTATTTCAGTAGCCCAGTAAGCCTTAATGTAAGCCTAATAAGTAAGCCTAATCTGCTCCTCTGATGATCCGTTCGAAATCTCCCGAACACTATGTCGATTTGAGAAAGCAAGACCGAGACAGCGAGACCAAGACAAGTCCGAGGCGAGACCAAGACAAGACCAAGACCACGTAAAAGTGGTCTCAAGACATCCAACTCTAGTAGATGCCACCTCACCCATCACCATGGCAACCACCTCCTTTTTCCAGTCAGTCCTGCATAGAGAGACAGGGAGAAAGAA